AACCATCTCCAGTCCACAAAGGCATATCTCCTGAGCATTACTTCCTTAGATGTTCATGCATTCTTTGACTGCGTTACAAGGAACATATATGTTATCCATTCATAGGTAAAAGGGAGAGTTCGTTGTTTAAAAAAAAAAAATTTACTCATCTGAGCCCAGCCTGCCTCCTGTATCAGTAGCTAAATGCCATGTAGACCCTGAGTCTTCTGACAGAGAGGTAAGGGATGCTGAGCAGGGACCATGCCAGGGTTCATGAAGAGCCAGACCTTCGGAGACTCCAGACCCATCCCCATACATAGCCTCCCCAGGTTGGAGTGGCCCCAAGCTCAGCTGAGCCCCCACAGAGCTCTCTGCTGACCCAAGGAAGACTTGAATCACTTTGAAAATGTAGGAAGTATGGTTTTAACCCTGGGTGGGTGCTCTGGAATTCTAGGATGTGTAAGGGGTTGGAGAGAGTACCCCCCACACACTTTCACAGCTGGCTGGGGAATCAAGAGAACTCCCCAGTTTCTTTAATGGGGTGAGACCCAGAGGAGCACAGCAAAGGGAAGCCACAATGTGGTGGCCAAGCCCGCCGCCTGCTGGACACATCTGGAACAGCAGCGTCAGCCACACAGGGCAGGGCACCAGGTGGCTACCACCTCCCCCGCCCAGGCACCAGGATCTTACTCAGGTTGGGGTGTTCAGGCAGGTAGGAGGTGGAGTGTGGTTCTTACTGCGCTGAGAGGCCCAAGGTTCCATCTCCCAGTCTCCCCACCTTTCCCAGATGGGGTACCTCCTAGTCTAACCTTTCTGAGCCCTGCCACAGTAGAGGTAGAGGGGTAGGTTGAGAGGGAGTGGTCCTCCACATTCCTACCTGGGTCTCACTCCTTCCAGATCCTTCCATGCCTCCTGGACAGCCAGGAGAAGTCAGCCTTGCTACCACGGCCGGATTTCCACTCCCACCCCAGGTATCGATCTCCTGCATCATTCATTTGCCAGGCCTTCTCGGCTGTGATTAGCTCCCTCCACCTCCCCATGGAGCGCGCCCCCCGCCCCCCCGCCCAACCCTCCATGTTCCAGCAAAGCAGAGCTAATACCAGGCTCTAAATGAGGCTTTGCCACCCCGCCTCAGCAGCTCAGAGCCAGGACTAGCCAATTACACATAGGCCCCTCGGATAGTCCCAGCCTGCCCCCCACCCCAAGGGTGTTTTCCTGTATGATACAATCCCCTCCAATTCAACTCCCTGATCCCAGAACACCACCCCTGTGTGATGCTCGGATGCCCAGCCTGCAGGGATAACAAGGGACATCTGCTTGAAAGGGGGGCCTGAACCAGGGAGGGTGCTCAAGAATGACCCTGTGGCTGGAGGCAGAGCGGGGTGGTTGGGGGAGACAGCACTGGCAGAGTAAACAAACAGCCTGGATTCATGGACGTAAGACAATTTCTCCCTCTGGCAATATCTGTAATTGGGAATGAAGAAGGGACAGAGGAGGGGATCTTCCTGGGGACAGTTAGGAAACCCTGAGTTTATTGCTGACCCTAGGGGGAACCTGCTTTCAGAGGTGAGAGTGTTTCCAAGGGAAAGCCTATCCACACGGCCACTCCCAAGGCAGAAGGTAGGAACTCAGAGGGGAAAAGTCCCAAGTGCCCACACCCACATCAACACCAGAAGCACTGGAAGACTCACTTCCTGAAATTCCTTCCCAGCGCTTCCCAGAGGAGGGGAGAAAACCTGACTTGGTGATAATTCTGTAAGCTATGTTGCTCTTGTCAAATTATTCAACATCTGTCTTCATGTTCCCACAAAAATTAGCATAGGATAGTAGTTTCTGATGACACCTTTGGTGAAATATTTTGACTTCCCCCAGTAAGTTGCAAACAACCTGTCTTGAAGATAATGTCACTTCCCACTCCTGCATATTAAATAATCCAGGGGTTTGTTGTGTTTTTGTAAGAAGATGAATCCCACTGACCGGCCCCTGCCTGGAAATCTGACGGTTTATGAGAGGGGGACAAGAAGACAGAACAGAGATGTGGAGCCTCTGACTCTACCTATGTATCCTGTGCTCCTCCTCTTTCACCTGCCTATTGTCTTTGTCACAGAACTAGGTCTCTAGGGCCAGCCCCATGACCCCTTACACACACACACACACACACCCGGCCTAGCTGAAAGCTGATTACAGGATCTACCCGGAAAACAACAAACTGGGCCAGAGATCGCAAAGCAGAGAAGAGGCCCAGCTCCAAATGGACCATCTGGTCCGGCACACGGCTGTTACAGCATCTGTGCCCCAAAGAAGAGCAAAGCCACCTGGCCGACTGAGAGGGCCTCCCCAGCCCTGTTGCAGATGACAGGCTTTCGAGTTGGAGGGCAGATCCAGCAGAACTGCGGGGCCTACGGCTCTGAGCAGTTGCCTCCCACTAGCCTGGGCTGACCCTCACCCAGGCCAAAGCTGTCCAGATCGCCCCCATTCTTGTTCATCCTTCTTCCCCTCAGTGCACCTCCTTATGAGATCACCCCTTTGTCAGCCCCACAGACCTGGAGCAGAATGGCAGCAGTGGCTGGGGTCCCTCCTGCCCCCCCAGCATGAATATTTTCCAACCTACTCTTTCCACCATCAATGCCAGGGCAACTGTGGACCTCCAGTCTCTTCATTTAGGGCTGTCAGCATATCACCCTCTCTAAGCAGAAACCTTCAACTTGCCCCTTGCTCTGCCGAGCACCAAGCCCTGGAGACACTTGAGAATTTTAAGAAGTATTTTCAGCCTGTCTCCAACCACAACTCTTCATTCACTCAACAAACCTCGACGGAGCTCTTGCAGAGTGCCAAGGCACCATGCCGAGACAGTATGCCATGATGGAATGGCCAAAGTGGGCATCTCTAGTCCCCACGAGCTATTTCACTCCTACTCGCTGGGTTCATCTGCTTTGGGGTACAGAAAAATGGGATGAGCAGAAGAACGAATACCAGCTCTGCGCCCTACTTCTTAGGCCAGTCCCGGTTTTACTGAGGTGCTGTCTCCCGGCAGCACCTGCCAGCCCTCCTATCAAGGGACATCGCCTTTCTCCTGATCCTTTTTATCTCCTGTCATGTTTTCCCTCTGTTTCCACTCAGCCATCCCCCTGCAGCCCAGCCCTTCCCCAAAGCCACATTCTCTAAGGGCAGGTGCCAAGAATGTCACCCAAGAATTGGGGGTGGTCCCAGTGCATCCAGCCATCTTTAATTTGCAACAGGAGCTGTCAAGAGCTGGGCATGTAGGGAAGGGGAGAAAATAAAGGAAGGGGGGAGACAGAGGAGCCTGAAAGAGAGTTTACAGAGACCATGGCTCTTGTCCCCCAACCCCTGCCCCTCATGGCTGGGGCTTCTAGCTAGGTCCAGAATGGCTTCCTCAAATGCACCCTGGGCCACCCTTGCAAAGGGAGGCTGGAGAACCCTGGGGCCAATGGCCACAGGATGGGCTTGGGGAGACCAGCCCAGGGGCACAGAAGAAAGGCACTGGGAGGGTGTGTAAGCAGGAAACAGCAGCCTCTTAGGGCACCTCCTTAAAAGAGGCAGTGAGCTGAGCTGTAGGGAATCCTTGGGACAACAGAGAAAGTGGAACTTGGGGCCACTGGTGTCTTTCACTGTCCTGGGGCAAGGGGGATCTGATCACCACACACACATCCCCAGCCTCTTACAGCTGTTTCAATATTCCCTCTGCCTGCTTTTTCTGGCCTATGCCAGGGGCCAGGCAGAAAGAGACACACAAACTAATTAAGAAAGAGTTTGGCTGGATGCCTGGGCAGGCCTCATGAGGGAATTAAGCCCAAGCCAGCTAGCTGTTGGAGCCCAGGGGTGTGTAGGTTCCAGACAGCTCCCCTCCCATGCCAGGCGCAGGCAGAGACCCAGCACCTGCAGCTAGCAGTCAGGGGCATGGCCTGTGTCACCCACACAGTACAAGACTCACTCTTCCTCACGCTCAAAGAGAATAATTAGACCCGTGGCCCCAGAGGAAGAGAGAGAATCCTGCTTGTCCCAGCCACACATCATTAAAAAGTGACTACAAGCCCACCCTGCAGTCAGGAGAAGGAAAAGTCAGAGCCATGGGCTCTAGGGATTGACTGTCTGTGCTGTGCAGCCACAGCACATCCGGAGGGTGACCCTCGGTTGTACTGAACCTAGGACCCTTTACTGGGAAAAACCACTGGACCGAATGTAGAAAGAGTAGCCAAAATGCCTTTGGCACCGGGATGTGGGAAGCTGGCATGGGGATGCTGGAACACAACTGCGTGGCAGCAGGCAGAGTTTGGCCACGTAGCCGGATGGGTGCGTGCGGTGTTTGCGTTTGCTGGGGACAGTTGGCTGAATGTGTCTGTGTGCGCACGCAGGCAAAAGGAAGGTGGGGCTGGGGTTCTGTAACTGGGAACCAGGGCCAGAATGGACTGGCTCAGAAGAGGTCTAAAAAAGGATGCCGAGGATTGTGGACGCCTCAGCTAGGGGATGCCCAACATCAGCTCAGACTGTCGAGAAGCTGAGAAGAGGCAATGAAGCCTCAGCCACAACTGAGAAGGCGAGCCCGCCGCCCCGCAGTGGTGCTGTGAGCAGCTCGCCTACCAGCGGCGCGCAACTCCGGATCCCGCATCGCCCGCTTCCACTCACCGCCCGCTTCCACTCCGGAGGCCGACCCATGGGAGGAAGAGTAAGTCTCTGGCCCAGCCCTGAGCTGCGGGTCTGCCCGGGTCTCCCAAACCCACTGGATTCTCCCGAGGCTTCCAGATCACTCCAGCCCTTAGTAGGATTTATGCAAGTGGGGGACTTCACCGTTCCCAGCTTCACACCGTACCTACTAGGACCGGTCCCGGGGCTCCAAAGTAGCCTGCTCCGGTCTCTTGGAGGCCGGGAGAGGGCGGGGACGCCGGCAAGCACCCAGGGTCTCGGCCTAGGGTCCACCGAGCCCCGGCGGCGCGCACTTTGAGCAAGATCTTGCAAAGTTTCCGCGGGGCTCAGCCTGCGTAGACCCGGACGCGGGCTCTTACCGTAGACTCCCTGTCCCCGACAGTGGAAGGGGATCAGCGCCAGGAGTAGAAGACAGGTCACCTCCATCTTCACGGCCGGTGCTTCATCCCCGCGAGGCGGCGCAGCCTGAGAGGCGGCGGGGGGCGCATCCGCCGGGGCACCGCGATGCCCTCTGCCTTCCCCCCTTTTCCCTGAGACGCGACAGAGAGGGCGGCGACCTGGCTTTCTCCTCCAGCGGGGCCGCTGCCCTCCCTGGGGACGCAGGGGGCGCTGGCCCGGCCCTCGGTGCCTCTGCGCTCCCGGCTCAGCAGCCAGCGCCCTGGTCCAAGGAGCCGGACAGCCGAGCCGCCCCGGGTCCCCGAGGCTGTCTTCCCGGGATGCAAGGAGCGGGACCTCTCTGGTGCGGTGGCGGAGCTCCGATCCCACGAACCCCAGACGACTGACAAACTTGTCGTTTCCCCGCCCAGGGGACGCCCCTCTCAGCCGAGCGGGGCGCAGAGGCCGCGCGGTTAAGCAGCTGGCTCCAGTCCTACGGCGGGTGCGGTGGGCTCAGCAGCTCGACCCAAGGGGGACCAGGCTGGGTACCCTTCCTTCCGGACGGCGAAGGCGCCCCCAGGTCCCGGCTTTCCCGAGCGCGGGAGCAGAGCGAGGACGGGGTTGAGCTGCAGGGAGAACGCTCCGGGTCCCCGAGTCCAGGAAGTTAGCCGAGCCGCCACCGAGGAATCCCGGCAAGGCGATCGCGTCCCGGCGTCCCCGCGGGAATCCAGACAGCAATTCCAAGGCGACGGGGACCCCAGCCAGCAGGGGAAGGAGCAAAGTTTGAGTCGTTTGAAAAAAATAAGAATTCGCGCACGGGCCGAGGCCGGGGCTACAGCGCAGGAGCCACCGGCCGCCTCCGCTCTCCGCACTCAGCTCCCGCCGTCTGGCCACAGCCGTGGCGCTCCGGGGCTGGGCGATCTGGGGAGAGCCGGTCTGTGCCGCGCCCCAAGTTGGGCGTCCCCGCCCCCCGCCCGGTGGCCTCGGCCTGCGGGGGCCCCAGCGGGCGGGGCCGGGCCGGGCTTCGGGGGCGCGGCGGCCGCTCTGGCTCCGGGGCCGCAGGAGCGCTCGGTTCTCTCGG